TTTTTTTTTTTTTTTTTTTTTTTGTGCAGGACAGGCCTGTTTCAACACGGTCTTTATTTTGAAACAGTAAAATTGGGATTGTTTAAAGGCCAACCTTTGACACAGGTGGGTTTATTCACAGTTAGTTTGGAGCCCAGACCCAGCTGGCCCCAGTTGTTGCTGCCAAACATGAACAGCTTCCCATTTTCTGCAGAAACAAAACACAGAGTGAGCAAACCTTTCTCACCTAAAAACTTCATGTTTCACTTTAAATGAGTGCCAAACTGACACTCTTACAAATTGTATTTCACCTGAATTTATACAAATTGTCTCGTCCAGACATCAAGACTCGTTTTCAAGAGAGACCTGTATAAATGAACATGTTTTAATGGTGAAAACCAGTCCTACCTGTTATTAAGGCTGTGTGTTCGTCACCACAGGAGATCTTCTCAGGAACATCCTTTTTCAGCCAGAATTTACTGGGTATGTTGTCTGCAAACTTACTCTTCCCAAATGTGAAAACCGCTCCTGACTCTATAGGTAAAAGAAAAAAATATTCAAGCATCAAGTCAAAAAGGTTGTTCAGAAAACAGATTAACTTTACATGTGTTTCCCGTCATTCTCACTTCAAACTGAAAATCTTTGATGTACATGAGGTATAATTCGTGCACTGGGGCGTCAAACAGGTGAATACCTTCACCTTTGACTCAGATCAGTGCAAAAAAAACCAAACAAATAAATTAAAAAATTAAAATCACTAGAAGTGTCCTGCAAAGACAGGCATTGAGGACAAACAAGAATCCACAATTCAACCATCATGTTCCATTTACACAAGCCCAGATACACACAGAAAGTGTGTTTTGGCCCTTGTCCAAGCAGAGATTCTTAACCTATGGACCGTGGCCCAATTGTGGGCTGTGTGCGCCACCTTGAGGGCCTCAAAAGAACAACAGATTTTAACTTTGGGCCACAGAGGGCGGTGGGACCGCATTGATTTTTGATAAGGTGCAATACACTTTCTCACGACTTGTAGCAGTAGTGCGCCACTCAGTTGTTTAACAGCTTTTTAACATGTAGAAGAAGAATCTTAGAAACCTGCTGAGAATGGGAACTTATTTTAGATGAAAAATAGAAGCAAAAATAAAAGTAACCCGTCAAAAAAGGCCAACGTTTGTCACTAATATGAAGTGCAGCTCCTGTTTTCATCAAGCAGTATTTTAAAAATTCATAACATTATCAAATACAGTTGCAGATACAAC